GGGGGAACACGGTGTAGTTGTCACGGTCAAATTATGGGCTAATCTGAAGAAAACGCGCCAACTTTTGACAAGGGTGCCCTCCGGAAAAAGCCTATAAATGAGAATTCTTTACTTTTTTATAATGAAATATCAAGCGTTATCGATTCTTTAGATATTCAGGTACCCAAAATTGGAGAAAGTTAAAAATCGATTTTTTGACCCAAAATCGGGTTTTCCAGACCCGTGACATGCCTTTCATCGAAAGGGGGCCCAGCTAGTATTATGTATTATAGCCTAGCTTTTGATCCAAGCTTCTTTTAATTTGAATTGACCTAAAGTTTAATAATATGTAAATGGCTGCTTCTTTTTTTCCCCTGCTCATGGCAATCGTGCAAGACAGGTCTAGATGAGGCAATACTGGCCACAGTCTTTACCAGTCTACCACAAGTCAAGATAGCAATCGTTGTATATGTATCCCGTTATGCCACAGCCCCGTTGTACCGCCAGCTTTATTCTCGTCCCAAGATAGCGGTATCATGAGGTTTGGCCAACGCCTACTCTAGCTCAGAAAATACAGTAGGTGTTGGGTTTGACTGTACTTGGTTTTGTCACACTCGTGTTGAAGAGAAGAGGGTCTATATTGTTGATAATTAAGTATAAGTCTAATATAGAAAGGGGGGGGGATTAGGGGGACACACTACTGTACATAATAATTACAATCCGCATAGGTTGATGGTTGTTACGACATGGGGTCGCTTGTCACGCTTGCATGAGATCGTTTGTATTGAAAAGCCCGCACATGTAGCTTTTAGTTTATATTATATATTGTTATCGACCCAGCAACAGCTTGCTTTTCATTACTTATTTCTTCAGTTGACGTTTTTCTTTAGCCAAAGTTTAGCTGTCCTATGGTTCTTCGTAATGATGGTTTACAATTACAGTTACAGTGTTTCTGTGCAATTTATCTTAATTTTCCACGTTTGACAGCAATTGTGGAGCATCTTAGAGTGTTCATGCAAATTCCCTGCCCGTATTACTGTACTTGTGGTGTACTTTAGACAGCAATTGTGGGACATCTCAAGGTGATCGTTGAAAATTAATTAAATTCCCTGCCCGTATATATATGCCAGAAGGCAAAATCATCAATGCGGAGAGTCTTTTCGGACGGGCGCGTCCCTTTTGGACCAGTAAAACGGGTAAAAGTATTTCACCAGGTAGTAGTCGGCCAAAAGAGTGGTTTGTGTTAGTAACTCAGGGATGCCAAATTATGATAATTTTGAAAAAAAAACCCAACTGAAAATGAGCGGAGCATCATGTCTCACCTAAACCGAACCTTGTAAAGCTTTTAAATGAGCAAACAAAAACATATTCTCTCTTATCTCTCCCCTCTTCCAACGGATGAAAATTTGGCACCCCTGTTAAGGGGGGGGGGGGGGGGGGGGTGGCTACACCCCCAAAATCAAAATTCGGCTCAAAATCATGGAATTTGAGTTATAGGCATTTTTAGCTTCCTCAGCCTCTCCTACAACTATTTCATGGCATAAGAACCCCCCAAAACCGTATTTTTTCGCATACCGGGCATGTTTGTAACCGCCATTTCCTCATAAAGTCAGTATTTTATTTTTCTTTATCGGCCGTTTTCTCAAAATGCGACTTTTCTCTATACTTTTTTGAATAACTCCACCATTTTTCATCCAATCTTCATGAAATTTTCACAGAATGAAGAGAAGAGATAATATTAAAAATTTGTCTGTTGAATTTTTGATACATGGAATACATTTTTGTTGGTGGTGTCTGGAGTGTGGATTTTCACGGATTTTTCGCAAACTTGAATGCTACCTCAGGAAAAAATTCATTAAAAATTTTCTAATTCGATTAGGAAAAAAAAACCAGACAAATTTTTAGACCTAATGTTTGTGAACACGCATGCAAAAAAACAATCAATTTCCATGAGCGATAAGTGCGGTATTCATTACGTAAGACATGTCAATAAAATCCAATATGGCGGCGTATCTATGGAAACGAAACTTTTTTCCTCAAATTTGATATGCGGAGTTTAAGACTCCTTCTTATGCTTGTTATATGTGTGAAATTTGGTAAAATTCGGTCCAGTAATAAGCGAGATAGCCTCCAGGTGTAGCCCCCCCCCCCCCCCCCCTAACTGTAACGACCTCAAGTTGGTCAATAAATGTTTTAAAAAGGTTCATTTCTACCGAGCACACCTGATTTTCGAGAATGCCTTGCTCTGCCTGTGTCTTTTGACTCCAATAGTGACCTGGAGCAAGAGATAGGGAAAAGGGAGGGGGAGGGGGAGGGGGAGGGGGGGAGGGTTATGTACTTTTTCAAGTGTGATCCACAGCAGTGCATTAGAGAAACAGGCAAATAAAATACATTTAACCCAGCAGTAAAACGATTAAAAACCAATGAAAAGGGTATCCTGTTCGAAGTGTTACTTCCACTTCCCCGTGGTGAGCAGGGGTCAACAAACACACAGCAGCAGGCTTTCAGAATCGCAAATTTTATATTTGCGAACAGAAAAGGCAGCGCAAAAAAATGGGTTTCAAAATTGAAGCAAGAAATCGGTAAACACTACTGGTTCAAAAGGGACCCAATCTTTTACCCGTCCAGATGGAACTTTGCAGTCACTGGTTCAAAAGGAATTCTCCCTGTCGGACTTCAGTTCGTTCGTTACATCATTGAAGATCAAGAACAAAGTGGAACTCAGTCAGGAACATTGGAGTAGGCCTTCTTCGAGTAGTCTTCTCCCCTTGACGAGTGGGCTTTGTTTGATTTGGTTTCGGTCTGCAAGGAACAACTTGGTCCATTTAAAGAGCTTGCTGTGTACCCCGAACCCTATCATTTTCATGAGCGATCCTTTCTCCACACTCAATCGTATGCCTCTTAGTGTCTACAAAGATGGTGACAGAGTGTTTTGCCCCCTGAAAGTCATCCAGAATATCCTGATATCCTTGAACAGTTGGTCTATCATACTGCTACTTTGTCTGAAGCCTGTTTTGTGTGGGCTGTAGCACTACAAGCAGTTAGTACTCTCCAGGCACGAGTGGGGGTGGTTGTTTATCATTCTGTCAGCATGAATTACTGATCACGATGTCAGCGACATTGCGCTATACTAACACAATTACAAAGTTCTATCTGCTCAGTACCTAGTTTTGAGAAATTAGACTTTTAAACGTTTTGAGTTTCACAACATGTAACGCTTTTTAGAATGCAATTCTTTGAACACCCTGTTAACCACTTCGAATAATCGCCTTACGATTTTGATAGAGCAAATACAACATTTGCATATATGTATTTGGTTTCTAACTTCATGGTTTTAGTAACTGAAAAGGGCTAAAAAATATCAAATAAAACTTTGTAATTCTAAGGTAGCAATTACTTGACAGCGCTTTGCTTCTCCCGGTGGTATTTTATTATATTATTTATCTGTATAATTTTGGGATTGGCATTATCTGTGCAATTCTCCAATGCTTTTGGCATTCCACTTGTTCCCCATGTGGTACTAGGCGTCGTAGGGTCAAAGTTGCACAACGTTCCATTGTGTATTTTGTCGGGTCCTGGTGCCGACTTTCGTTATAGCTTCTTTTGGGAAAGCGGGGGGGGGGGGTTGTATCTGGCTGGGTTCTAGCATGCTGAAATCTTCCCCAAACAGTGACTTGTTTACAGTTTTCATTTTTTTTTTCTTTTTCTATGTGTTTTCTCCCGTCCACCTCGGTTAGTCTGCTTGCCCTGTTTACTGAGGTGAAGCACTGGTTGGAATGTTCTGCTTTCTTCTCATCTTCTGTGATAGTGTGTTGCCTGTGAGTGTGAGGAAAATACGCTAGGTTTGAGATCCATTTTCTGTTCTTTTTCAGATTTCTCCTGAGAGGCTCCCGATAATAATATAAGTGGCCAAGCCTTGTTTCACCGTGGCTGAGATGGGGATCATTTAAAAATTGTGTCCATGTCTCATTTTCTTATTTCTGAACCGAGATTTCCACGTGAGCAAAAGTAATGTAGCAGTAGGTTCTGATTATTGATGAAGGCCATTTCTCCAACATTACAATAGCCTTTTTTTAGGGTTGTTGGTTTTATTGGGGTTTTTTTTTCTCTTCCTGTTACAGTACAGCAGTTTAAATTCTTTCATTCCAAAAGGTTCAAAATTCCTTCAGCATCCCATTGGAAAGCGCTGAGACCACACTATATGCCCAGTGCCATCTTTAGATAGTTCACTCCAAGCTGAATAAAATAGAGTGTTAAGTTAAGTAAGTTATCAGTCTTTAAGTAAGGGCATTCACAGCTTCTAATAATGGAATGAAAGCAGTGAATGTATCATCAATTATTTTTTTCCCTTTTGTTTATACTGACACAAGAATGTGATGTTGGAAGTGAACTTGATCTCATAATTAGATTTATCAACCGACACAGACCAGACATTTGAAATGCAATCATAGTTTCCTTTATTTCCAAAGCTGCAAGAGATTATTTCTTAATTCCCCACAATGTTATTACAATACCACAAAGAAAAAAAACTTGACAAAATATAAGCAATAGCAGGTTAATTTGTATCAGACAAATTTCAAGGTTGTAAAAATGAATTCATATCACATTATTGGAGTCTAACACTTTTTCACAGTCAATAAAATGCTAAAAGTAAAGTTAGACCCCCCCACTTCCCGACCCATTTCCCATTTAGAACAGCTTGACCAAGTACTGAGCCTACATACAAGGTGGCCCTGGGGTCACAGTACACAGTGAGGCAGCAGTTATGACTCACAGGAACAAGACACAGGATTATCATGATCATGATGTATGAAGGTGGGGAAGGGGGGGGGGGGAGACCTTTTCTTGTAACAATAAATTGATCTCAACAACACTGCTGCATCAAACATAATGAAAAAAGTGGAGGGAAAAAAGGGACTGACTTCACATTATTATACTTCAGAAACCTCAGCCCATGAACATGTCTATCACATGATGATTTTTTCATTTTACGATGACTTAAAATAGGTCAGAAAAAAAATTTAGCAGTGTGTATAGGCATGAAAAGTGAACAGATCTTTAAATGGATGCCCAGCTTTGTACTTCATTTGTATGGTGGGAATTTTTTAGGGCGATGTACAACACTTAATTATCTAAAGAACTGAAAAGACACATATCAGATTTTTTGCAAGACTAAATAGTCCAATTGCAGTTTTAAATTTATGATGAATTAAATCGAGTAAAATAAATACACATCATCATGGGCCATTATTATTATACTTTCTTTGTCAGTTTTAAATGAAGCAGAGGTGCCCATTCCTGCAATCAGACAGGATTTTCAGTTTCAAAAGACCAATTACCATTCATACATCAACACTGAAACATCGGCGGTACAACATAAACAGTTTTTTGGTAATACCATTATATCACAGTTGCTGGCTCCTCAAGGCCCACTATTGAGTAATTTACATACATTCAGTGTTTGCATAGTCATTGAGATTTTACATACAATAACATTCATCAGCAAGGCTTTCTTAAAACACATCACCTTATTTACAACTCTTTCAAACAGGAACTTAGGTAAAGTTGATACAAACTAGGCTAACATGCATGAGTAGATAAGAAAACTTTTTCCTCTCACTACTTTCACTTTCAGCCCAAAGTGTTCAAAGAATTGGTGACCATAACATTCGATTTTGAAAAGTCCTTCATTTTATCTTCAGGATCAAAGTCGAGACAATCAACAATTCATAATTTACTGTACTGAGCATTATTAATACAACACAGAACTGTACCAACCCAGTTCTCAAGCTGAAAGGTACAGTCAGGCACAGATATAACACGAACATAGAAAAATCACAATCACGGACAGTTCAGACAATTTGCCATTCCCCAGACTGATATCACTTTAATTTTTCATTATTGACATCCCCTATTATGGATGTGCTGAACGTATTTGTCAATCCCCAATGTGTTTAGAGTTCTCCATGCCCCACTGTATTACTGTATACATCAACTTTACAAAACACAAAAATATGCCAAAATTTAACTAAAGCCATTCAAGAACCTGGGTTCCAACTTCCAAAGCATGCATAATTTACAAGCTACTTTTATTTCAATTAAAACTTAAGATAAGAGATACGTTACGGGAGAGTGCATTACAAGCACAAATCCCTGTTCCTGAGACACAATTTCCGTTTGCTGTTCACCACTCCCCTACGGGTTTCACTATCCTGAAAGTGACATTGATGCGAGCGCCGCGGTCGTGATACTCCTTGGGCACTCGGTGCTGGTGGAAGATAAACAAAGAACAAATTGTCAGTGGCATTCTATAAAAGATATGGTAATCCAAAAAAATTTCCAAGAGAGACAAAAGAAATCCTAACAATATTTCCTTTCATTTTGACGCATTGCATCTTACGAGGTCTCTCCCAAAAGAAAATTACCCTATTCAGTAAAATCAATCATTTTTATTTTACAGATATGAAATTTTGTACATATCTACAAAAACAAATGGTCTATTTGACATAACAACTGTTGATGTCAGTGAACTTTTTCATCTGATATAGCCAGTGGCCATACACAGTGACCATATCAGCATCGGCCTGAATTCTTAGGGAAACATTTATTTCTAGCACAATTTCTTCACCATGTTCAAATCACTGCCTCCACAGTCCATTAAAGTTTTAGAGGGCTCACATGGTCTAAAGGTACGGTGTTTGCTTTTAATTCAAAAAGCTCCAGGATCTGAAACCTGACAGCAATGAAAACATTTTATTCCTTTTTTACTCATAAATATTGCAATGGAGACGAAACTAACAGCATGGGGAAGGAATGGGATCGGGAATGAAAAGCTTTTCTTGCTATTTGTCACCCTTTGAGGTATAATGTACGGCTACAACATGTACATCGCCAAATTGAGTCCTTTCTATTTTAGTGACCTACATAGTCCAGTATAGTGGAAATCAGATTCATACCTGCTGTAAAGAAAAAAAATTAGAGTATCAACCTTGAAAATGAGTAAGAGCTGTACTTGCGTACGCAATACTTCAATAACATTCTTTCACCTTAAAAAACCTAAACATTTATTTATTTTGGGCTGTGTTGTTATATTTAGGTGCAATAAAAATGTGCAAAGAAGCCATTTCAACTCAAACTTTCATCATTGTACTTCACCAAAACTTTCTCAGTTTGTCCATTTGCTATAAGGGTACTGTACAAGGCAACTGGCACAAACAGAAGTATGGTAACAGTAGCATTTAAATGTGTAGAACTCTGCAGCAGCGTCTCTAAAGGGACACGGCGAGTAAACGGGAATGAATGGGCAAGGCAAAGGAGTTCTTTGTGAAGTCATACAAGCCTTATGCTGAAAGGGTGACAAAACAATTAAGTGGAACTTTACCCTACAATAAACCCTAAGAAACATGGGCCGAAGCCATCTGAGAAATCTACTTTTTTCAAGTTTGTACAAGCAGCCAATCAGAGTACTAGATTTCTCTTGGTTCTAATCCCAGTTTTGTGTTACCTGCCAGTCAGCCTGTGTCCAGCCCTCCATGATCAAAAGTGCTCCGCTTCGGATGGGAACCCGGATCACTTGGCTGTATGTGTAGTCTCGTTCTCCCACATCGTTCTGCGGACAGAATGGATTTGACTGAGGGTAAGACAGGTCCTGAACTACACTGATCCAGACAACATGTAATATACTCATGCCATCCTCATAATATACTCTACTCCTTTTTTTAAGATCAAGAAAAATATACAGTCTCAACAGCCAAAGACGGCTACCCATGGTCAAGGAGAAGAGTGAATGTATTATAGATAGGTGGCCATCTTACACAGATCATAAATTTTTATATAAAATTATTCAAGAGAGGTAAAGGGAAGTGGCCATTTGAATAAACGATTGTCTTATACAGGTCGCAATTAGAGCAGGTTTTCGACGGTACATCTCTCAGGGTAACCAGTCGGTAAAAACACTCAGATGGTTAACAAAAGAGTCCGTCTCAGACATCAAGTTAAGCCAATATGACTATAACAAGCCTTGCTAGGGATCATACCACTAACAGACACCTGAAATACACATAATCATTACTGTAGAACACGACTATAGTGGGATTTTTAGTTCCAGATGAAAAATCCTGCTGTTGGCAAGTTCCCGCTATAGGAACGCAAAGGGAAATTACCAAAAAAAAACACACAATACATGCTTTCCTCTTCTTTTATGGCTATGGCATATCACTTTTGGAGTGGCTCAAGTAATACACCTCTCTTCACCATCTCTCTCTGCCACCTGCCCCACCTCACTCATCACTGGACTGGCTAATCACACCGCATCGCTGACTGCCTGTTTGGAGCCCACCTACAGCCCCCCACCCTCCAACTCCCTTACCCCCAGCTTGAGCTTGCTCTATCTCTTGCTGTATCCAAGTCCGGGCCTTTCCTTGCCCCGATAAACCCAAATACAGGTACTTACTTTACTTTTCCATCCTCTGTTGCTGTTAGGCGTTGAGGGGAGAAGCAGTTTTCAATGGTAGGCCAACTCCGCAGCTCTTTCAGTTGTGATATTATTTTTTTTCAGGGTTTCCTTGACACCCTCGATCCACCAAATACAGGTAATTGAGTTTAAATAGAAAAAAAAGGGGGATTCCGGTAAGGTCCCGCCACAGCAGGTGAGGCTACAGTCATGTTCTACTGTACATTGTAGGAGCCAAATTAACACAAAACTCACTGGAGGTGGTTTCTTGCGCAGCTCAAAGACTCTCTCATCCCCAAAAGACAGTGAGGCAATGACAGGACTTTTCCCCATGATGGGTTCATCGTCAGAGTGCCAACCTATACTGTCATGTCCATCACGGTACAAGTTGGTGGCCAGAGCATTAAACTCAATGCCGGTTATTTCTGCTAGCTGCTCTTTGAGCTGCTTCAAAGCCAGCGGCCATTCCTATGAGAAAAAAAAAAGCAAAAACATAATAAGCTGTTGTGAAAAAGAAAACACACCCATGCAAAAAGAATGCATACCTTTATTTCATTTCTGAACAATAACCACTCTTCAATACAAGCTCATAAACTGTTATTGAGAACCAAGAGAGAAACGCTGGCTGGTCAGCACAATAATGAGCATTTATTCGTTTGTTTGTTTGTTCGAGTAAACAGAAGTTCATCTACACAATACAGATCATATAGTGTTGAGCAAAATAAGACAGACAGGATCAACAGACAGAAAGAAAAGAAGTGAAACCTACCAGTAGTGCCCTGCAACCACCTGTCATGTATGAACAATAACCATTCTTCATTACAAGCTCATTAGCTGATGTTAAGAGGCAGACAATGGCTACTGAGCACAGCAATACTCATATTTCATTAGTAACAGGGCAAGACAAAATAGAGAAAAGAAATAGAAAGAAAAGACCACATAAAAGCCTCCATAATCATGACGTTTCAATGTATTTTGATTCAGACAATAACATGTCCTTGTTATAAGCGATGTCTGTGGTGTAGGTGGTCTTTTTAGTTTTAGTTTTCGTAGAGGTTTTACGGCGCTCGCAACTGCATAAGGTCATATGAGCGCCAGAAGATTAGAGATGTTACAAGAGAGTAACAAACATAAAAAAGAAGAAGGGGAGGTAAGGACGATAGATGTTTGATAGGAAAGAAGAAGCAAACCACACCAGAGCACCCGCCAACCACCCACGGTAGGTGGTCTAATGGTAAGACTACTGAACTCGTATTATGAGATTGCCGATTGGGAAGTTTGATGCTCAGCTTCATCCAACATTGACAATTGTGTCAATGGGAAAGGCACTTTACATGAAGTTTCCTACTTGGTTCAGTCCTATTGGAAATGGATGTTAAGGTAACCCCCTCTGAAATAACCGTACAGAGTTGCAAGGGGTATTAAACCTATACAGTTTCACACAGAGTCCATTTTCACTTGTTTTCATTCTCTTGGTGATTAAAAGCCAAGCTTGTGCTAACACTCAGAGAGTAAACTATACAATGCGGATGAATAATAACACTTTCATTTAATTTATTTTTCACACTAGAAAAGCACATGGGTTCTACCATTGTAATACCTTTAAAAACAATCTTGAAAACATCATTTTCTGCTTTAGCATTCTACATATATGTAAAAATGGACTTTCCCTTCCCTTTGATCAGTAGTTATTTCCATTACTCTGGCACTTCACTTGCATGTTCAGTAGTGGGGACTAAAGCTCTCTCAGCGGTTGTGCCAGTGAAAAAAAAAAGCATGCAAAGACACCAGGGCCCTAGTTTATAAAGCAGTTTTTTTCCCCTTCAACTGCAAGATCTACAATTTCAGCTACTATAGTCAACCCCTCATTTTTTGCTTGAAACCTTTCAGATATAATTCGACACACAACAAAAAAATATAGAGAAACAAAAACTCACATCAATGTTGGGCTCTACGGTGACTCCCCCATACGTGTATGGCTGATCGCCGTACCAGGCCGTGAGCCTCGGCTGAATGGCTTGTTTCCCGTTGTGGATGTCGTGTCTCTGCCCCCAGGGCACCTCGTTGAATAACTCTGCGAATATTGCATCACAACGGGAGGGTGCTATAAAGTCTGGAAAGTATCGGAGCCTGAAAGGAAAATACGCAAGAAAAGTTAAAACACATTAGGCAAAAAATTTCGGGATAACAACATGCATTTGTTAGGAAAGTCAAAATTACATTTTGTCAGCCAGTTGTTTAGATGAACTCAGGCCAAATTCAAATTTAAACGTTTTTCCTTATAAAGACATGTCAACTAAGAGAAACAACACAAGATGCATATATATATATATATATATATATATATAAAATACTTCTATCATCTAACAGACAGAATGTCAAAGCAAAACAAAATAAAGGTTTCTCATATATATATATATATATATATATATATATATATATATATATATATATATATATATATATATATATATATATATATATATATATATATATATATAAGTACATACCTGGAAACCCCAGAAGGCTCAGTGCTGATGTCATAAACTCCAGGTTTTCTGAAGATGAATTTTTTAAAAAGAATAAAATCAGTCTTCGAGCAATATGCTTAGCTCACAACACAGCTCATTTTACTTGTAGCATGAGAGAAAAAGACCACAGAGATAAGGACAGAAAATTTCAGAATGAAGGCGTCAAGGAGACAGAAGAATTATCATGAAAGAAACAAAGATTTTCTTAAAAAGGACACTGGGAGCTGAGTCCCCACAGCCCTTCTGTTACTAGAATTTGCGGATGACATTTTTTTCCTTCTTATTCCATTGTTACAAGGACAACAAACTAACACTGAGGGGTTGTAGTTTTACTTTACTACTTGTACATACTTTATCTCCTTGAAAGGAGAATTTTGATAAAAGGCAATGAAGGAACAATCTTCCATTACAAAGTGAAAAATGTAACACTTAAACCAATTCCCTTAGAGTCTTTACTGTTGTCCAACTTCAAACCAAAATATAATGTCGCTTTGTTTTTTATTCAACATAAAGGGATAATAATAAGTGTTGAACATGGAAAAAAATTGAAAAATAAATATGACTTAAAATGATCAGGAACTGAATGACCTGCTACAAATTTTTGTCAACCACAAGACAAGTCGTGTGACTCAAGAAAAGAACTTGACTGGCATCCAGAGAACATCTTGCAATTTGTCAAGAAAAGTCGGCTGCTTTTGTAATTGTTGCATTTTGTAAAAAAAGAAAAAGTCACTGCAGTTCTGTAGAGAAAAAAAACCCAACTGTTTTGTGAAAAAGGAAGTTAGTCCTGGAATTTGCTTCACCTTGACAAATATGAGGGTAATACAACTGAGATCACTTACACTGAAAACGATTAATCTAAAGACAGTGATAATCCAAAAGAAAATAGAATCTCCAATTTTTTTCTTTTTCTTTATTAACTTAAGGAAGCTACTGATCAGCCAAAATGCTTCTACTTCTACAATGGAAGAGACATGGTAATGCACTTGTGTTGATTGTGGGCCAGAGAGAGGCATTGCAAGTGTACTGTTTGTCTACTCTAGTACATAATTCACAAGCATCAACCGGACTACGCATTATGTAAAGTGGCACAAGGATAGCTAACATATGCCTGTTGTGTGACCTTCAGTGGGTCATGGCCTCCTATTGTCTCTTTGTTTGTTTTTGTAAAGTGTTTTACGGCGCTCGCAACTGCATAAGGTCATATTAGCGCGCAGGACACACCTAATATTTTCAGTTGGTAGGAAATTTGGAATTTTGCGCGGGTGGCGGCCGAAGCCTACTCTTATCAATTTTAGACCACCAAGGGATCTTTAACGTGCGCAACTTGCACACGGGCCCTCCGAGATTTTTCGCCCTTGTCCAAGAAGGCTAGGTGTAGATCTTTCCTACCAGAAGATCAGGGGTGCGGCAGAAAGACAGCAGTAAGGAGGAGCCAAGGAGTAGCAGTAGAAAGGCTGCAGAAAGAGTCAGGAGCCCAGAGGAGGGGGCAAAGGAGGTGAGGGGGCGGGGGCAGAAAGTGGAAATGAAAGCAGACAACAGAACGTTGCTAGAGAACAGGAAAGCAGGTGAAAGGAGACTCTTTTAGAGAAGAAAATTTTTCGGTCGCTACCCGGATTCGAACCCGGGACCTTTGAATGAGAGGCCAACACCTTAACCTCTAGGCCACGAGAGCCCCCCTATTGTCTCTGCACGGCCAGGCCTAGTTCACACACACATGAGCTTGTACACAGCATCATGCATGAGCTGTGTTTCATGATGTCACTGGCACGTCACTGGCACTCGACCCTCTCATTTCTCTAGTGCAGAGTACAGTGCAGCACATTTCAGCACAGTACAATCTGCTGAGACTGAGACAGCAACGCTTGCGTTTATTTTGTCTGACTGTTTGGTAGATTAAAAAGTCAGACAATGTCCAAAGAGAAAGCACACAGCGTACACCCCGCAGCTAAAATTTTAGGTTTTTCCTTTCTGAAAGAGGTAAATGTGAGAAGAAAAAAAGAACCCCCCCCCCCCCCCTTTAAAGTTGTAAAGTGAGCCACAGTTCTGAAGGGACTAAGTAAGTCTAACGAAAGAATGAAATGTCATAACTCAGTACAGCACATGTATACAATTCTTTGAATTTTGAAGATCAATTACTTCCCTTTGGTGAGAACACTATCCGAGCAATCTCTGTAAACTGAAAATAAATAAAACTAAACTGAAGAAACCCCAGCAAGACTGCGGATTTTGGTTGAAGTGATATATCCACTGTGGATTAGGGGAAAATTTAGTTATGGCTACTGTCAGACTGTAAACATATTTTTTAACTTACGTGATAACCTTGTCAGCTGGTTTAACCTTTATTTCCTGAAATCACAAGGAGAAAAAAATTGAATTCTGTTTTAAAAGTAAAGAACATACCTATTTATTAAACTACATAGGTGACTAAGAATAAGGCCTTTTCACTCAGTGCTCAGATGAAGTTGTACCCAACATTTCTTCTGTTGTAAATTACACACAAAAGTACCTTTCCATTATTATCTCTTACTTGATATAAATCTGTATTCATCTACTTATAATAATAAAGTATATTGTTCTGCTTTAAAAGTCAACAGTGTGTTCAAGGACACTGGCTTTATCTACATCCCATCATGTTTTACAATTAGAGCAACAACAAAAAAATGAGAAGGTGATATGGCAGCTTCCAAGAAACAGCATAAAAACAAAATGGCATGCATGGTAACTTGTATGCCTGACTAACAGGGAAGAGAGGAAAAGTCCAGTAAAAATTTGCAAGAAAGAATGAACGAGGTCCCTTAGACTTGGAGCTCAATAAACAAATCTCTGCAAACTTTAAAAAACCCAGTTCCCTCCTATATTACAAAAACTGAGACTGACAGAATATTCACATCAAAACAATGGGAAATTACCATAAATGTGACAAAAGATCAGTAATTCAATAGAGCCAAATGTGACTCTCATAGCAATTTAAAGTCAAACACTGGGAACAACATAAGCATAAATGCTCCCAAATCTCACCTCATCTGGTTCCTCATAAACGAATTTCTGCCTTGTCACAGGTTGGTCAATATTTTTCCCCATCCAAATAGGCATTGATGAAGTAGGCTTCTCTTTCTCCGTACGAGCTGAGTGGATTTTTGCGTGACTCTGAATTGGATTGGTGCTGTCTTGCTCATTTTCATTTACACTGAAAGAAGATTGGTTTGCCTCTGTGTGATGGGCAGACTTGCTTGCAGTGGAAGAAGCCGGCCGAGACCCATTGCTGTGGCGCTGAACACTTGACTTGTGTGCATTATTGTTGGGAGCAGCCCAGCCCCCCTGGACTCGAGCCCTCCTTTTCTTGTCAAAATTCATGGTTTTAATCGAATTAAGAAGTCTGGCTGATCACTGTGCAGGTTTCATCTGGTCAATGTAAGAATTTGACAGATATAGAATCTATAATTCATAAACATCAAAGCTAGGCCAAGGTAATAATTCCAATACATGAAATTCACAGCATAGCAAAACTAAAAGAAGAAACTAAAAATTCATAGACAGTGAATCACTTAAATGACAAAGAACAATGACATATGAAGTTGAAATGAAGGCTTTCACTCAGACTTTAATTGATCTTTAAGAGAATAAGCTAAATGCTGTTTTATTGAAGGATGTGCAGATGCAGGATGACCACGCTTACCTTCATGATCTAATGAACAGCACATGAAGAAGTTTGAAATCAACAAGCAGTTTTCATGTATCGTTGTTTGTGTTAAATATTCATAAAAGGAAGTTTGTTTTTGTCACAAATGAAAACATGTAAGGATCATATACAGTTGAACCTGCTCAAACAGCCACCAACACAACCCCTTGTACAAACAAGCCACTCCCCATCTTCCCTGGCATATTTCTATTACAATAATGGTGCTGTGTTAGACGACACCTGTCTAATACGGACACTTTTCATTTTCTCCTCAACTATGGGTGGTCGTCTTAGTACTCTTAGAGACAGTTTCGACTGTGAATCTATTCTAGATTTAGACTTTCACTTACACATGCTTTGGGGGCTACACCGTAGTATTTTTGGCTGTAGAACACAATACATTAAATATGGCCACTAAAACCATTGCAAATCGATTGTTTTCAAGAAAATCTAATCTAGATCTTTTACAAACAAAGTTGCTATTCAGACTTTGAATGGCTATTTGGATTCAAACTTCAACAAAAGGCATGCTGGAACTGATGTTTTTCATATATCGATTTCAGCATGACTTACTTATTGGTTGATGAATATCCAAACTGACTTTCTGCTGTCATTTTAATATTGTTCCAAAATTTAATTTGCACTTATTTGTCCCCAAAAAATGAGAATTTTAATTACTACTAACGTTTTGAGCGGTTACCCCTGCTTCAGACTGTAGAAGGATTGTTGCTTGCCTAACGCATGTATTGTTTTGTCTTGATTTTAATTTGAACATCATGTAAAGTATAGTATGCTGTTGGAAAAACTTTTCCTTTAGACCACTGTTACTTTGAATGGCTGACTTTTGTTCCTAGTATGCTGTTGGAAAAACTTCTCCTTTAGACCACTGTTACTTTGAATGGCTGACTTTTGTTCCTAGTATGCTGTTGGAAAAACTTTTCCTTTAGACCACTGTCACTTTGAATGGCTGACTTTTGTTCCTAGTATGCTGTTGGAAAAACTTTTCCTTTAGACCACTGTTACTTTGAATGGCTGACTTTTGTTCCCTTTGGCAGGGTTTAAGCGTTTCTCTTAATTTTTACTGGACTTCCAAATGGTCAATGATTTTGTCTTTCTCGTCAAATCAAGTGGGTTCAGACTACAATCCTTTGTTGTTATGAAACTTTGATTTTCAATTTTTTCACTGCTTTCAGCTCAGATTGCTGTTTCTCTGTTTGCCTTTGTTGTGTGTAGTATTTCAGATTTTTTCAACCGGAGTTTGAGTCCGAATAAGCACAGGAGGCTATTCAGACTTTAGTCCGAATGGACATGACGGCCTGTTGCAAAAACATCAAATTATAGTACGCCAGAGAAATACAGAGCTGAGGGGAGCATTCCCCTGTGAAATCTTGCTGGATTTTTTAGGTCAGGGGAAAAGGCCACCTGAAACTGAAAACCACAGATTTTTATCAAACATACTAGATCTAAATCTAGTTAATAACCTATTTTTACATAAAGTCTACTCAAATACAGAGGCTATTATTCTATTGTAATACAGATTACCATCCCATACAATAGTATACAGTGGAGTCAGCCTTTAAACCGAACTCAGTTAATCTCAACCCACACTAAACTACAAACTACTAAACAGGTGAAAATCCGGCAGTCCCAAAGACTTTTATCTTATGCTTTAAATTTGCAATGAAATAATATTAAAGGGAAGTCAAACTTTACATATAAAACTAAAACAGACTGAGATGAATGAGAAGAATATAAAATTTGTAAAAGTAGTGTAAAAAAGTACAGTGGGTGTTGCATTCAACGAGGTCGCATTCAACGAGAAGTCCCGCTCCAACTTGGCAATCCTTAATCCTCGATTTTTTCCTCTATATCTCTTTGTAAATGTACGTCAGCTCCAACAAGGTTGCAAACAGACCGAAGTCGCTTTCAACGAGGTCGCGATAACCAAATAAAAGCACTTAGGGGCCCCGAAAGCGAAGAATTGTTCTCCATTCTCTCCATTTCACGCGAAGCACAAGGTCCATCCTCGATTCCTAACACATTGTATTGCTAGATCTAGTGTGCCTCCTAATATTATATTATGGGCCCCAAAGCCAAGAGGATGGGCGGGGGTTGGCCTAAGATAGGGATGGGAGGGGGTGGGTGGGAACGCGATGCGGGCTGAGTGAAACTGGATGAACTCTGGATGGAGGTCTAGATCGAGACCTTCATTTTTTTCAATTTTCTTTTCTTCCCCTGATCAGAAAATCCAAGCTCATGCCTTTATTTTATGTAGATCTAGGCCTAGATTACATTTCAAAACGAGAAGTGTTCCGGAAAAAAATATTTTTAAACATGCAGAAATGATGGTCAGAACACAGCTCAAATATGCGCACACTAAACTGCTTGAGATTTTTGTCATCAGGGGGAACAACTGTTTTAATTACACTGGTATTGGTACATCGTGTATAATAACTTGTCTCCTTTCATTTCTTTAGCCTTTGTCACGTTCAACGAGAGGTCGGATCCAACGAGGACAACAAGCCGGTCCCGGCAACCTCGTTGAATGCGACACCCACTGCAAAATTATAAGGAGAAAAAAAACACCGGTTGAGCATGAGTCAGCCATAAGAAAGTCAAGTAATACTGTACTGTAGAGAGGTTTAAAATTTTAATGGCCAGCTCTATTCCGATTCGAGCCCGATTAGATTTTTTATGAGCTAATCGGCCTCGAGTACGAATATTTTATCTACCATTTCCGCTTCTCCCAGCATGGTCGTCCTTATAGTTGTCTAGGCAGTAGGCTAGTCTCTGCCTGACAAGATGGACGGCTTTCTAGAGCAGGCATTCAAATCTTACGACGAATTTGACAAAGCTTTTGCTAAATTTAAAGAGATTAAAATTTTGTTGCCTTTAGGAATAAATCATCTGAAACTGAAACAGTTGAGAAGGCGGACTTTAAGTAGTTAGAGAGTGTGGCAAAAATCCACAGACTTTCTGTACAGTAGAGACGAGGCAACAAATATTACAATTACAACAAAACATCAGCAGTATACAACAGCAACAAAAACCACTAGGGGCAACAACAGCATCAACAACAACAACAAGAAAAGACCTGCAACTGTCTTTGTTTGTTTGTCTGTTAGTTTGGTGTGTGTGTGTGTGTGTGTGTGTGTGTGTGTGTGTGTGTGTGTGTGTGTGTGTGTGTGTGTGTGTGCATGTGTGGTGTGTGTGGAGTGTTTGTGTGTGTTTAAGGCCACAAGCACAAGTGTGTGTGGTTTGCATTTGTGTGTTTGTGTGTGTGCGAGTGTATATGTGTATCTCTGTATGTGTGTGTGCAAGTGTGTGCGTATTGTATGTGTGTGTGTGGGTGTGTGAGTGCATGTGTGTGTGTGTGCATCATGTGTGTGCATTTGTTTTTCTTTTGGCAATCCTTTTCTTTTTCAAAGTGGCTAGCCCTACTTGCTAGCCTGAGAGTCTAGCCTTACTTAAGTACAGCAAGACTGCCAGTCTAGCCGTAGATCTAGGTTTGGCCTTATCGCCTCCAACCTGTTGAGTACAGTAGTCTCCGCCTAAACGCACGGTGCTCGGGGGGGCTCCTGAGCGTGTGTTTACACAGAGCGTGCGTTTACATGAACCTTTGCAAGGGGAGGAAGGGACGCAGTCATCTTAATTCCTTATTACTCTACTAATCTCCCTTGGGGGAGGGGGTCATTTTGGCAGATAAGGTGACGACACGTGACTGTTTTGTGAAGGATTCCGCGACAGGGGTTAAGATTAAGAATATAAAGGCATTGAATGGGGGGGAGGGAACAAACTCAAAGTAATGGTTATGCACTATAAACGTCGGGAACAGATAGCCTATGAGGAAACGGTTGGTGATGATAGTAATAGAGTCGACGGACCAGCCACGTGGCTTTCCAAGCGACCGTCCCCGACCGTAAATTCAGGCAGAATCATCCTCGAGAAACATTTTCTCTTGTGATTCGTTGAACAAGTACGTTATAAGTTCTTTGAGCGCAGCTTATTAGGCTTACTTGGCTAATCTTTAATCCCATAGAGGCCTGTCTAGTGTTTTACGGCATTTTTACGCATTTCGCGCATCAGGCCTAGATCTAACTAAACATTACACGCAGTCACTCAAACACCAGTCAGAAACCTTCTCTCAAAGATACATTTCCAGTGACCAATCAAAAAACATTTCAGTCCCCCCCCCCAACATTTTAACCAACCAGCCCGAGACTGAGACCTATGCATCAGTGGAAAGTAGGGTGTGTAAACGCTGTCTATCTCTCTCTTCGTCCGGCGTGAGGGGCACTCTCACCAAATATCCGGTTTTCTAGTAAATTCTAGGCTTGCCGTAACTAAGCAGTCTGTGCAGATTGTAGTGAAAATTTCCCCTTGCCAAGCTTAACTTGTCGGCGTGTTTCGCGGATCAGAGCGTGCGTTTAGAGGGAGTGACCGTGCGTTTGTACATCTAAATTATACAGTAAAAAAAACGTCAGATGACGAAAGTGTGCGTTTGAGCGGAGCGTGCTTTTGTATGGCGTGCGTTTAGATGGAGACTACTGTACACAGGTCTCATTCTAGATCTGGTAAATATTCAGGCTTAAATAATGCAAGTCAGTAAGGCACCTTTTGGTTTTGTCTGAAATACAAATGATCAGGTCAAAATGTGATACATCGTGAGGGAATCAGGCGCTCGTCAATTTTTGGGCACAGAGAGTTATTAGTATCATCTTAAAGCTTGTTCAATTATATTTGGATGATAAAAATATCCGTTTATCTTAAAGTTAAATATACAAGTCAAGATATTTGAGAATGAAGGAGGGGGTCACCTGTTTTCAGATGTAAAATTAGCGAGAAAATGGCTGTCAAAGATGAGTATTTTCCTTAGCTTAAATGCTAATTTGTTTCGTGGTAACAGAAAATTCACATCTTTTGTGTCCTTAATCAACGTTTTCAAGAACAATCCACACAGAAATGAGTTCTTTAGTAGGCATGAAAGGTGTTGAGCCCAAAAACAAAAATCAAGTTTCTTCACTTTGATTATAATTTTGACGAGAGCCTGATTCCACCACACTGCCTCACAAAAATACTTTAAGGCTTTGCAAACTAAAGATTTCATTTACAATTCAGCCATCATGTACGGCTAGCCTGACAGTCTAGCTAAACACGGCTAGCCTAGCCGTCTAGCCGTACTTAGCTAAGAAGTCTGGCCAGCTAACCTGCAAGTCTAGCAGTCTAGGGCCGTCATTAAATACGGCTAGCCTCTTCCTTTCTTTTTTTTCTTTTTAAATTCTTTTTTTTTTTTGGTCACAGAGTCACTCTGTCGCAATTAAAACACCGCATTGCCATTAATTGTCACAGCATCACTCTGTCAAAATTAACGCTACCAGTGAGGTAGATCTACAGTCGGAAGAAATCTAGATATCTAGAAGATTTTTCGGGATTTTTAGCATGAACTGACGTCTTGTCAATTTTATCTCGGGCATGATGAATAGAACACTTATATATCCAGGCCTAGATTCTACTTCAGATTTAGACAAGGGTCCAGAGCCAGAAGAGCTTGATGATCTAGATTCTAGACCTAGATCTTGCATAGAAATAGAATTTACGGTGATCTTGTAGTTCCGTTCGTTGAAGTCCACAATCCATTTGTTTACATCCAGAGAAGAAATCCAGAAGTCTTGATGACAAAATAGTCTACACAAAGAGCAGGGATGCAACCTAAACTGCAAAACATCAAATAAGGATCAAATTCAGGCCCCCCCCCACCTCCATATTTTTATGTCAGGGGGCTTGCCCCCTCAAACCCTCCTCCTCTTGACTTTAACTTTCTAACGGCTAGATTTATCTAGCCGTTAACGAATATCTCGAGCCTAGAGATCGAGATATCGGTCTAGAATCTTGATCTAGATCTAGATCAAATAAAAACATTCTTCATACTTTCCACTCTTCTTCATAATGCTGTACAACACTGTGGGACAGTTGTAGATCTATCATGTATCTAGATATAGATCTAGATCTAGATTAGTCTAGACGAGTCAAGTTGCTCAACGTACCATAGCATAGACTCTGTCCACTAATAGGCTGCGAGGCAACAACAAATTCAATTCTCCACTCTTTTGCGAAAGAAAGGAAAAATGGGGTGTTATTTTTGGGGACCCATCTTTGTTGGGATTTATAATTATTTGGAACAATACGGTCTTGATACATTCTTCAAACATTATGTTCTATAAAGTATAAAGAATGATTATAATTTATCTTAAAGTATATCTATCAAAATTAGTTTTTATTTAATTCTTCCTACTTTTAAAAAAATTATTTGATAATAAATATTGAAATGACCCCTCTTGATTGAAAACAATGGCCGACGTTCAAGCAGGTTGGTAGTAGTGAAAACTTGGGATATTATTAAATTCTTTAACGTGTTAGTATTTACTGGGCTGCAGTTTGTCTAACCAGTAATACTTTGTTTAAAGTGCGAATAGATAATGCCTTTAAAAGGCTGTTGTTTTTTTATTGCAAGTTAAATTGTTGGAAACTCTGGAGAGACCCCTGGCCTGGGCCCACGGTGGCAACGGCCCAACGCCAACGGCAACGGCACGGCAAGGCCACACAATGCGACTAAACGTAGAACGACGCAAACTATTTTAAGTAAGGCGGCCATCTTGTGTTACGTCAGAACAGGATACCCCTCCAGTCACTTGACTACATCTAGATAATCTAAATATAATAGCCAACCACATGGCACCAAAGATCGTGTGGAGACGGAGAATCTTTGATGGCACGACGCGTTGGTTAGCAATGCCCACCAAACACGTTTTGTTCTGCCGATTTTTGGCCCCCGCCACGGGGGTCTTTCGTGGGATGAACTAACGCAAAGGTTGTTGTCTTCAACTCGCTCTCACGCCGCTTCTCGTGAATGGATATGAATGAAACTTGGCAGCCAATCAGAAAAGAGTAAGAGGTCAATCTCGTAACTTATGCTGCTAAATCTATATTATATCGTCGGCCTGGTGATAAAACCGACTAACCCACAAAATGTCCAAAAAATTTTTATTGGCCCCATCGATAGCAAATTGTCCATTTCATATGCTCACTCATAGTCAGATCTAAATTTTGTCTAGAAATGTCTTTAAAACATTAAAAATAAAACCGTATAACCCCGCATCGATCGGATGTTAGCCCGATGTTTCCGACTATCCCACCTGCGAGGGAAGGAATGAGGGTTGGCTGTTTTTGTCGCGCTAACAATGAGGGGCCACGTGCTACGTTACCGACTAACCCCGGCTTCGACTCGCCTCAGGACTTCGTTTGATAGTCCAGAATTCGCTCACGTAACAATGTGAGCTCTTCAAAAGTGAAATTTATGTAATATTTCTTGTTGGTTTCATTTGGGAGTTATATAGATCTGGTTGTTCCCTCTTTTTTTCTTCTTTTTAATGCTGCTGATAATGTTATTAATGACTAAAACTCCCCACTGTACCCACCAGAACCGTTTTTATCTCGTTACAATGCCGGTATTTCAAACGCATCTTTATGGATTGTGTTTTATATGAAACTATTTTTTCTGTCCACGTGGTCTTCTTTGTCTTTGTACTTGACAGTTACCGAATTATGAAGGCATTTCCCCTTATTCGGACTACTGTCTCTTCTCCTAATAATTTTTTCCATTGCAATTGAATGGACGAAGTCGATAGCTTTTCATTCTTTACTAACTCACTCAGAAAAAAAAATGTGGGACCTGTCCAGCACACCGTCTGCCCCCAACGATCGTTTTCTTTTAAAACTTTTTTTTTTTTCATTTGCAGTGTTTATTTCAGTCACTACCTTCTCAAACATCTTTTGATTTTCTTTGAAAGTTCATGTCGTTAGTGTTTTGAATAGATTATTTTCTCAGTGTCAAAACATAATGCTTTATCTTTATCAAACCTTAACTTACATAACGCTATAACATTCGATAAGATGATGCCACGCTTGCTACGTCACGTCTGACCCTCAGCGCAATGGAAAGTGATTAACATGACCAGGCTAATGTCACATCAGCGGATAATACAACAGTATGTCGCCTTTGATCTCCGCGAAAAGGACACGGCATGAAAACGATTGGTAGGGTAACAAAAGGAAGAGGTTGAAAGAACTGGGGATGCATCTACACATGTCAAGGCACGAAGCGAGCAGGGTGTGAACTTGACGTCCTTTGCTGTCGTAAACTGGTTGGTACAAAATGCAATGACATCACTGGTCACTCTCTTGGAAAGAAAAGAGAGACTACGTATGTCATGATACACAGGATAGACAAAAAGAGATCTTACACAGCAAGTGAAATCCCAAAGAGAAATTACACCCTTCAATATCGCTTAAAAGAGTCAATGGTCAAAGAACACCTGTTTGTAAAACAATCTTCATGAACACCACAGGCCTGACCCACTGGTTTATTTAAAGTGTCTTCTCCGAAAAAAAAATCAAACAAGAGGTCCCCCCCCCCCCCCCCCCCCCCCCCGAACACATCACGCCCACCATGAGAGAGCCAAGGATGACAAGTTGTTCCATAAAGAGGAATTTCTTGACAAACTTTCAAAAGTATCCTCCTGTCTTCAGATGACAATCCAGGAAACGTCAGATTTGCATCAAGTATACATGGAGAACTTTGCAGAGAGGGTGAAAGGCACATTGAGCTATCAAGTGTTCTGCCAAAAGTTTAAGAAAGACAATTTGGGTTCACTTTCAACCAAGAAAGACCAGTGCGATATTTGCACCAGCTTCGAATAAGGAAACCTCACAGAAACAGAATACACAGCTCATCAAATATATGAATATGAGGAAAGCGGCAGCGAGACAAGAGAAGGAGAAGGACAGGGAGGCGGTACTGGACCCAGAGAACAAAATGTGTGTCCTTTGTATGGGGATCCAGTGCGTCCTTCTAGCCTCATCATTAAAGACATCCACCTTATATTATAAGACAAAACTGGCAATACACAATTTTACAATTTAGGATTTTGCCATCAGAGACACCGGATGATATGTCTGGAAGAGGTTTGTCTGACGCACTAACTGATATTGCAAGCGACTGGCTTCAACCACTTCATCATCTGCAGTGATTGGTGCAACTACTAAAACAGAACTGCCACCCTGGTGAGTGCAATGGCCTCGCTGGCCAAAGAGCTTAACATCACAGTTGAGCAGAAATTCTCACCAAGGGCCATACCCAAATGGAGGTGGATTCAGTCCATGGCAGTATTGAGCGATGGCTCCAAAACGCACTGATGTACATCCCAATAGACTACGTGAACATCATGCTCCAAGCCAGACGTATCCCCAAGCCTTATGAAGTTATGTACCTTGGCCACAGCTTTTTCAAAAATTTTGCAAAGGTCGGAGAGCACTAAACAATCCGTCCAGGGAGAAAAGCAGGCGATCCTACTGTCACTGACTTGCAGGCATCAAAGTACACTCCATACTTTACAATTCAATACAAGCTGAACTTTGATGATGGATGGCAAGCGCGGAAAGGACCAAGAAAGCTGAACACCCAATGTACGACGGTTACTGCTGGACCTCTCTGCAAAGACAGATTGAAGATAACTGCCAACCAGTTTAAACATCTACTGGAGTTGAAGGCGGTTGTACCACGATGCTACCACAATTACCGTGAAACTTTGCCTCAGTAAGAAGTTTTGAAAGTGATCAAGTCAAATTAAATTATTGTTGAGTCTTTCAAAACAATGGTAACTTTTGTCGTATTGCCTTGTTACAGCCACAGGACACAGAGTGAGACAGACACGCTCTTCTTTGTTGAGAAAACTCAATAAAGTAGTAGTTGTCAAGCCACGCACCTTGAAGAAAGTTGGCGCATTCTTTGATACTTACAAAGTCTTTTTGTATAATAATAATATATTATTATGAAGCCAATTTCACTCAAACCATTGCTGAGGTAGCAGAGCTTCTCTGTGGCTTTTCTGCTTTCATTTCTTTTTTAGTATTACTTTTTTCCAGGCATTTGAAAGGCCACCCTGTGCCAATAGTACTGTGTCAGGCACTGTCATAAATTCTAAAGGCCTGCTGATGCTACTGCTACTACTATTGTTTTTGTTTGTGTTGTTGTGGTTGTTGTTTTTGTTGTTGTTGCTGTAGCTGCTCTCCCTTACCCTTCCAACCTCCAGTTCTTCTACTTCAAATATAATTAATATACCCATTGCTGTGTTCTGCTTCTTCTACTTCTATTAAATGTTCCAATTTGTGACTGGTGTTTTTGCCAGAATTGACTCCGTAGCACTGAAATGGCAGCAGCCGATAGTATGTTGGTAGCTGTAACATCGTCCTCCTCCTCTTCCTTCTTACTCCTCCTCCTCCTCCTCCTTTTTGCTCCTCACCATCTTCCTCCTCACCCTCCTCCTCCTCCTCCTCCTCCTCCTCCTCCTCCTCCTCCTCCTCCTCCTCCTCCTCCTCCTCCTCCTCCTCCATCTCCTCCATCTCCTCCTCCTCAACCTTCTTCTTCTTCTTCTTCTTCTTCTTCTACAAAAGATCACGACGATTGAAGAACTGATCAAATACGTTACAGTCAAGTATGGCTTGGCTGCACTCAACCAAACTCGAGGCCAGCAGTGGCTTCCTGATTAAACCGGCCAACCCACAAAATTGAGGGTTGGTCGGTTTTATCGGGGAAAATTTGAGCGACATAACCGTCTAACCCACGCAGTTTCATTAAAAGCGATTTTTTAAGGGAAAAAAGGTCTACAGTTTTTCAGTAAAGTGTTTTTATAGGTATTTGAAGCACTGGTTTATCGTTAAACACCTTTGTTTTGAAATGAAACAGTTTTTTCCTTCTCCTGTAAAATTTACCTCGCTGGGGTTAGCCGGTTTTATCACAAGGCCGACGATATGCAGTTTGACAACTTTGTACCCATCCAAGAAGCAGTCGAAAACGTTTGCGAAAGTGGTTGATGTGGTGCGCTTTGAAGATTTTTCGGAGCTGTGATTTGTCAAACTGACTGATAAATTTTTCTGTAGGCAATCCTTTTTGTCAGTTGCCACAGAGTAAATTGGAGCTCTTCTGCGTTGGTGGGTAGCCTAGAATCTAGCTTATTGTGCTCGAGTACTCGGTGTTGTGCGTTCGCCTCTCTGACCCTCTGTGTGTGTGTGTGCGTGTGTGTGTGTGTGTGTCTTTTCTGCTTGAGTTTGTGTGCGTTTGTGACCTTCTACTTCTAGAATTGCCTGAGTTGGTTCTACACCAAAGTGTAGGCTAAGGGTAGCCTAGGTCTAGGCCTACACCTCATTGAAAACACGCCAAGTTGGTACCGTAGCTTAAGACTAGATGCTCGTCCAAGGTAGTGCTAAGAACATTGAAAAATTTTTTTTTGCTTTAAAGCCAACAAAACAATG